AAAAAAAAAAAAAAAAAAAAAAAGGACGGTGCTGTACTCACAAATGAACTACAGTTCATTAATAATAAGAACTGCAGCAACAGCACCTGTGTGTGTTGTACCGTGGCAGCTCCAGAGCGTTTTCATATCATCATTCTCTTCTGCTTCTCCCACCACAGACCTTGACACCCATGAGGCAGGGAGCACTGAGGTTTTTACAGATGAGTAGGTGATGCCCAGAGGGGCTTAAATGCCTTTCTTGGGGCCCCATCAGTGCTGAGTTGTGAAGCTGGAGCTCAGAGCCAGGTCTCTTAACCCTTAATACCAAGTCATTTTCCTTGATGGGTGGTACATTCTTGGTACCAGCACTAATGCCTGGTAGGTAGCCTTGGACCCTCAAAAGAATCACCGTGGGGTGTTTAACATCACTGAGCCCAGGACCTCCCTTGACAGAGCTAGCACCTCCTGGGGTGTCTGCACTCCTGGGAGACTATGATGGGAGCCCAGGTTTTCTGTGTGCTCAGCCTTTGTGCCACTCGTGCTAATGCCTTCACGGGAGAGAAGAAGGAAGGAGAGAGAGAGGACTGAGCAAGGGAGAGTGGTTTTCAGCCTAGGAGCTGCAAATGCAGGTCCTTACCAGGGGAACCACTTGGGGGTCCAACGCTCCTTTACCAGCCGTGTCCCTATTCTTCCTTGGGGGTATTCTAGTTAATTAAAGAAATCACTTTTGAACTAAGGAAAAAGAAACCTGCAGAGAGAAAAAATCTTGTTTCATTTTGTCACTGTAAAAACTGATTTACATAAAAACATACTGGTATTTCTTGTGCATGTGATAGGCCTTGTGAATTGGTGTGAGTTGAGAACATTTGCATATTTGATTTGAAGGGCATTTTGTTGTCCCTCTTTGCTGAAAACCATCAGCAAAGGCTGGACTTCCTTATAGTTCATAAACATCAGCCAAGTGGTTCTTTTTTTTTTTTTCTGTTGTAATTCTCATTGTTGTTTTAGCTGGCTCAGGCTGGGTTCGAACCCGCCAGCCTCAGTATCTGTGGCCAGTGCCCTACCCACTGAGCTACAGGCACCGCCACCAAGTGGTTCTTTAAACTCATCAGTGTTATCTTTTTAAATTCTTGTTGCTTCACCTGAAATGAAACAACTACTACCTCAAGGTGCAGAATATATTTCTGAATATATAGTTTGCCCTTTGGCTTTTAAATTGGTATGTGGACAGAAATTAGTGGATTTGGAGTCCCATATTGAGCTTGGAAATGAAATATAAGGTGAGGTTGTCTTTCAGAAAGGAAGTGTTCTTTCTCCTACAGTTGTCCATTCTTGGCAGGTGAATTTTTTAAGGTTTCTCACATCATTTTTTGAGAAATAGTTAAGATATAAATAATAAATGAATAAGCACTCAGATCACTGCAGTAATTTATTTGGAGAGGGGCAAGCTTAGTTGAGAGCTATGTGTTTCTACAATGAAAAGGACATTGGTTTATGCATGTGTGTCTTCAGTTAACTTAGTAACCTGAGTTGGAATTTGAGGAGGACTGATTAAGTTCACTCTTTCCTTAGCTTTACCACTTTTGTAATTGACACATTTTATGTTTTTCTGCAGTGACTGGTACTATGCAAGAAGCCCCTTTCTGCAGCCAAAGCTGAGCTCTGATATTGTGGGCCAACTCTATGAGCTGACCGAGGTTCAGTTTGACCTCGCCTCGAGGGGCTACGACTTGGATGCTGCCTGGCCAACATTCGCCAGGTACTTTAAGGAATCATTTGGTTTAAAAGATAGGGAACAAGATGTGTGAAATGTTGAAGATTGCCACCAGTCTATTCAAAGCAATTTTGCTTGCTCAGTAAGTTGCAAAAAGCTTTGCAGCTCTTATGCCTGCTAATTGTTGAATCATGATGAATGATAACATCTGATGCCTCCAACCTTAAACCAACCTAATTGGCCAGAGGGTGTGAGTCAGGGGAGATGCATATGCAAAACCAAAGTTGGGACTTGGTATGCGCATTGGTGGAGGAGCAGTGGGCTTTTCCCCCATGAATTTTTATAGTGTTATCATGGAGGCCCTCCAGGCACTAAGAGGAAGGGAAAGGCACAGCTCTTCCTTGGAAGATTGCTAGAAAAGTTTGGTGTTCTTTGCTTTTTTGTTTTTTTGCGGCCTTCAAGCCATCCATATCTTTTACCAGTGTGGTTCTTGCTCACATACCATCAGACAGAGTCCCTCAGAGAGTGGAGAGACTTGCCCAGAGTCATGCAGCCGATGAACAGCAGGTCTGAGGCACGAGGCTCAGGTTAAACTAGGGTGACCAGACGTCCCACTTTTTAACAGTTCGTCCTGCATCCTGCGCCATTTTAAAAAAGTCCCAATTTTTGGAAAGAATGCACAAACAGGCAGGAGAACAAGAAGGGAATATATGGTTTTTGGCTGCCATGTGGCTATTTCACCAGAATATGAGTTTTATATTATTTTTGTTAATTTTGTTAAACTGTAATAATAACAAATAATTGTTGAGAAGTGATGAGCAAGAACTGCTTATCAAAGTTTGCATTGTTGTCAGGCCCTGCCCCCCCCCCCGCCACGTCCCGCTTTACCAATGTTAAAATCTGGTCACCCTAGTTAAACTCAAGTCCATCATTCTTTCGTTTTGTTTTGCTCTGTGTTGAGAAGGTCTTTAAACTTTAATTTTCATATTTTTTTAATCAGGAAATACTTTTATGTACAGAAAAGTATTAAATATCATCATGTACTAACCACCAGGATTTCACAGCTTCCATTTTGCCATTTTTAAATGTCCTTTTAAAAACTTTAATTTTGAAATCATTTCAGAATTGTAGAAAAGTTAAAAAAAAAGTATAGGTACTCATCCTTCATCCTGATTCCCCAGTTATCAATATTTTTACTATAATTATCATTTTTCTCTTTACATATGTTGATTTCCTAAGCCATTTGAAAATAAATTGCATATTTGATTCCCCTTTTCTCTTAAGTACTTCCTCATGTATTTCCTAAAATCAAAGATATCTTCTTATATGACTATAAATTCAGTACAGTCACTAAAATCGGGAAATTAACCTGAATATAACATGTCATCTAACCTATAAACCTTATGCAAAATTTTACAAACGTGTCTCAGTGTTTCTCATGCTCTGAGATTCCATCCAGGATCCTGAGTTAGTTAATTGCTACTTAATCGTCATGCCTCTCTAGGCCCCTTTAATTTGGAACACTTTCCCTGTCTTTGTCTTTGATGACATTTTTGAGACATATACGCCAGCTACTTTATAAAATGTTCCTAAATTTGAGTTTGTCTGTTGTTTCCTCATTATCAGATTTAGGTTAAGCATTTTTACAGGAACACCTCAGATGTGTCCCTGTCAGCACATTATCAGAAGTAGGTGATGTTTAGGTTTCCAGTGAGGTAACCACAGTCGTTTGGTTAAGGTGGTATTTGACAGGTTTCTGCTAAAGGTACTGGTTCTTCCTTTGTAACAAATATGTATCTTAGGGAAAGATACTTTGAGATTGTGTTCTGATCCTTTCCTCATAAATCTTATTTATTAGATTTGTTTTTTAAATTTAGAGACAGAGTCTCACTTTGTCACCCTCAGTAGAGCACTGTGGTGTCACAGCTCACAGCATCCTCCAGTTCCTGGGCTTAGGCGATTCTTCTGCCTCAGCCTCCTGAGTAGCTGGGACTACAGGTGCCCACTACAACACCTGGCCATTTTTTTATTGCAGTTTGTTGAAGGCTGGGTTTGAACCTGCCACCCTCGGTATATGGGGCCAACGCCCTACCTTCTGAGCCACAGGTGCCACCCCTTACCTATTAGTTTTAACATCCATTCATAATTCTTGCCTGAAGCAGTTATTACCATCATGGTTATAGTGATTTTTTAACTCCATTATTCCTTTTACATTATTAGTTGCCATTCTACTGTAAGATCTTTTCTTTCTTCCCATTTATTCATTCATATCAGTATTTACTTGTAAATTCTTATTTTATTTGATCAGTTATAGCCTGTCACTGTTCTTATTTATTTGAAGCTTAAATTATTCCATATTTGGCCAGTGGGAGCCCATCAAGCTGGTTCTTGCTTTTGGGGGGAGGGTGGTTATATCTAATGCTCTTTTTAAAGAAATAAAATATTATAGAACTAAAGCCCTACCCTACTGCTATCCTTTCCCCTTCCACAAGTAAGAACTGTCCTTCAGGCATTTCATTCCCAAATATTACATTTTTACTATGTGTGTATCCATAAATATAATATTATGTATACACATGTATATATAGTTTTGTTCCATATGTATTTTTAAAATTTACATACATCAAATCTTGAGATAGCTATCTTTTCCCAACTTGTTTTTTTTATTCTGTACTGTTCTTGAGATTTTGTCTCTGTACGAAAAAGGAATGCTGACCCATGGAGTAGTGTGTTCTGTTGTGTGAGTAAACCGCAGTGTATCCGTTTGGCTGACAGTACAGAGTGTATCTGGTTCGGCTTTTTCCACAGTTACGATGTTGCCAAGAGCAGCCTCATCTGTCTCCTGCTGTATAGATGTGACTGTCTTTAGGGAAGATATGGAAAAGAGCAATTGCTGAGTTGTGGAGACCAACAAGGTTGAAAATACTGTAATTTTATATTTAGGAGATGCTTCTGGTGAAGTAAACGAGAGTTGTCACACAGGCCTTTGTATTTCTAAACTAATGCCGTCCAGTAGCACTTTGTCTGCCAAGGGAGATAGATACTCTCCATCAGCACGCCCTGCGCAGTCCCAGGGGCCGGAAGCAGGTCTCCAGACACATGTCTGTGTGATATAAAGTGACTGAGCCCCCAAGCACAGTTTGACTTTTATTTACCAAATCGACTGCTACTTGTTCCTCATAGGCAGAATAAGACAGGCACCAAAAGTTCAAGGAAAATTTAAACTAAAAACTAGGAAACATATGTTAATTTTGGCAGTGGGGGGAAAAGTCATGATGTTTAAACTGTAGCCATGGAGTCCAGCTGTCACAGGCCACAGTAGATTTGCTCTTTGATGGAAAATGTTGCATTTTATCCCTTATATTCTATCATGGAAGGCAGTGCCCTCTACCCCCACCTGATGGCCTCACGACCACCAAGGCCTCCATGTATGTGTACCTTTGTGTATGTTTCCTGCTCCGAATATATGTCTGTCTGTTCTGTGACCCCACAGGAGGACACTGGCCACTGGCTCTTCTGCTTACATGTGGAAACCCCCAAGCCGAAGCTCTAGCATAAGCAGCTTAGTGAGCAACTACCTGCAGGTAATGCCGGAGGCTGGGGATTCCTTGGGTTCATTCATTCTGACCGGGGCATGTCCTTGCCCCAGGTACCTCAGGGTGGTATTCTCAGATACTTGTTGTTCCAGTCAGAGCAGTGTAACCCTCAATTATATCCACTATTTCCAGAGTCTAAGTTTGTCCAACAAAGTGGAATTTAGGCCCTTTTAAAATTAAATTCTTGAAAAAGATTTTAAGGTATTTTTAAAGAAGCGGTTTAGCACTGTGGTTAAAAGCAACCAAGTAAAATCCCGGCTCTGTCACTTACCAGCTGTAACCACCTACTCAAACTCTGGAAGCTCCAGCTCTCTCATTCATAAGGTGGGGATAATAAAAATCATTCTAGCACATAAATGAGGGAGTGTGTGCACAGTCCTTAAGGCTTAACATACACAGAGGCTCAGTAAGTGTTAGTAGGCAGGAACAGCTTATTAATGTTTTTAGAAATGTGAATGTGTCACAGCTATGTATCGTTTTAAAGAACTTGGTCAGCAATACAAAAATAAAAATGATCAATGTAAGGAGCATTAAGAGCAGAAAATAGAGCATCCTTTACTCCATTTTGTGGTTTAATCATGCCAGGAGTTTAAATATGACTGAATTTATCTAAAAGCCAACATCCTCAAAGTTAATAAAGCTGACGGAGGCCAGATGGGAAGTGCAAGTCTCCTTTCAGTGGAGCTCACACATGCAACTTCATGGCTTTGGAAGGTCTGCTGACCCCCTCTTGGCAGATGCTTAGAGCGAAAGCATGCTAGTCTTCTGAATAGCTCTTTAGAATAACCTTAGGACAGGTGATGCCTGTATTTTTACTCTTACTCTCATTAAGCTCTAAGCTTTTCTGAGTGGCTGTGCAGCTTCACCTCAGAGTCACCTGACTTCTGTGTTTTTCCTCCCCAGACTCAGGAGATGGCCTCCAGCTCCGACCTGAACAGTTCCCTAAACAACGAGGTGCTGGAGGGCTTTGATGAGATGCAGGTAGAGCTGGACCAGCTGGAGGTACGGGAGAAGCAGCTACAGGAGCGTGTGCAGAAGCTGGACAGAGAAAACCAGGAGCTGAGGGCAGCTGTGAGCCTGCAGAGGGAGGAGCTACAGAGGGAGAGGGAGCGAGGGCGCACGGCCGCCGAGGACAGCCTTTGCCTCACTCGCATGGCGGACGAGCTCCAGAAGCAGTGGGAGGTCACCCAGGCCACCCAGAACACGGTGAAGGAGCTGCAGACTTGCCTGCAGGGCCTGGAGCTGGGTGCAGCAGAGAAGAAGGAAGACTACCACACAGCCCTACAGCGGCTGGAGTCTGTGCTGCAGCCCCTGGCGCAAGAGCTCGAGGCCACACGGGATTCCCTGGACAAGAGGAACCAGCATTTAGCCAGTGCTCCAGACTGGCTGGCCATGGCTGAGCAGAAGACAAGTACAGCACCAGACACAAAGGGGCAGCCAGAGCCCATTCCCAATGATGCAGCCCTAGAGATCCAGGAGCTGGGGAAGAAGCTTCAAGCCCTAGAAAGGGAGAACACCATGGTCCAGGAGCTCAATAGACAGCAGAGTGTGCAACTGGAGCAGCTGGCCAGGGAGCTACAGCTAAAGGCCGAGGCCCAGGCTAGCCTAGAGTGCCTGGTGAAGGAAATGGCCCCACTCCGGGAAGAGCTGTCTGGAAAAGGTCGGGAGGCAGCCCAGCTCCGACAACAGCTGCAGGAGACACTGGCTCACTTGAGCTCTCTGGAGCAGGAGCTGGTAGAGGTAAGGCGAGAGGAACAGCAGCAGCAGGAGGAAAAGGAGTTGCTGGAGCAGGAGGCCAGGTCTCTGACCCGGCAGCTGCAGTTCTTGGAGACCCAGTTAACACAGGTGAGCCAACATGTGAGCGACTTGGAGGAGCAGAAGAAGCAGCTTATCCAGGACAAAGACCACCTGAGCCAGAAGGTGGGGATGCTGGAGCAGCTTTCTGAGCAGCCAGGCCCAGAGCTGCACAGGGTGGATGAGAAGAAAGAGGCTCTGTTTCCCTTGAACTCTACCCTGCAGTGGGCATGTGAGAAGCCAGAGGAGGAGCAGAGGGGCCTGCAGGAGGGACAGATGGACAATACCAAGGCGCAAGGGGACAACCAGGAAGAGGAACTCCGGCAGGCCAACAGAGAGCTGGAGAAGGAGCTGCAGAATGTGCTCGGACGCAACCAGCTCCTGGAGGGCAAGCTGCACACCCTGCAGGCTGATTACCAGGCACTGCAGCAGCGGGAGGCGGCCATCCAGGGCTCCCTGGCCTCCCTAGAAGCTGAGCAGGCCAGCATCCGGAACTTGGGTGACCAGATGGAGGCAAGCCTACTGGCTGTAAGAAAGGCCAAGGAAGCCATGAGAGCCCAGGTGGCAGAGAAGGAGGCTGCCCTGCAGTGCAAGGAGGATGAGTGCCAGCAGCTGCGGGAGGAGGTGCAGCAGTGCAGGCAGCTGGTGGAGAACCAGTGCCACCAGCAGACCCAACCGATTGAGGCCCTGAAAGCAGAAAAAGGCCAAGAGGAGCTTGGCCCACCCCGAGATGATGCAACCCGTGAGCTGGCATCCCAGCTGGCCCTGTGTCAGGCGCAGCTGGAGATCCATTGTGGGGAGGCCCAGCGGCTGCAGGCTGAGGTAGTGGACCTCCAGGCCAAGCTTCAGGCTGCCCTGGGTGACAGGGACAAGGTACAGAGCCAGTTAAGCGTTACCGAGTCAGTCCTGAGGGAGCACAAGACCCTGGTGCAGCAGCTGAAGGAACAGAATGAAGCCCTCAACAGGGCTCACGTCCAGGAGCTGCTGCAGTGCTCCGAGCATGAAGGGGCACTACAGGAGGAAAGGGCCGGGGAGGCCCTGCACAGGGAGGAGGAGCTGCATGCCCTGCGGGAGGAACTGTCTCAGATGAAATGCAGCTCCGAGGAAGCCCAGCTGGAGCACGCTGAGCTGCAGGAGCAGCTGCACCGGGCCAACACGGACACAGCCGAGCTCGGCATCCAGGTCTGCGCACTGACTGCAGAGAAGGAGAGGGTGGAGGGGGCATTGGCCTCTGCTGCCCAGGAGCTTCAAGCCTCCAAAGAGGAGGCCTCAAGGGAACGAGAGGGCTTAGAACGCCAAGTGGCAGGGCTGCAGCAAGAGAAGGAGAGTTTGCAGGAGAAGCTTGAGGCAGCCGAGAAGGCAGCCAGCTTACTGCCTGGCCTGCAGAACCAGCTGGCCCAGGCTGAGCAGCGGGCTCAGAGCCTCCAGGAGGCTGCACACCAGGAGCTCGACACCCTCAAGTTCCAGCTGAGTGCTGAGATCATAGACTACCAGAGCAGACTTAAGGTAACTGTCATCTCCAGCCTCTGTTCATCTCTATGCGGCCGAAGTGTGTCCTTAGGGGTGTGGGCAGGACCCCAGTGGTCCTGTCCTGACATCACAGCTCGTGATAGCATCTGAGTGATACTTAGCCAGAAGTCAAGACAAAATTGACCCACACAGAAGTTTTTAAAATTAGAAGCCAACATTGAAAGAGTACAATGTTTAAGTCTTATGTCCTAAGCCCCACATGGCAACAGTCAGCAGGAGTTTGGTGGTGACTGTCCACTTCAGAGTTTTTCCTTGTGCTCATTTATGTCCTTGCACAGCCCCTTTGGGCATGTGAGTTTGAGAGCCCTGCCTTAGCCTGCAGAGCCCCTGCAGAGCCCCTGCAGAATGCCCGCCCAAGTCCTGTCTGCAGGTTCTTGATCAGTGAATAACCACCCCCTTCAGGTGCTATCCTGATAGCTGTGTAGAAAACTGACACAATTTGTTTTTACAGGGCCCTTGGAACAGAAGAGTATGTGAGACCAGCAGTTGCCCATGCCTTTGATAGTGCACAAAGATGAGGAGTTAAGAATAGCTAAGAGTGAGGTTGCCAGTAGGAAAGCCTGGGGCTTTGCTTTCCAGCACTTATTACTGTTCTGTCTGCTTTGAGGTCTCAGAAGTAGCCCCACTGTCTGCCACAAATGTGCCTTCCCACCTGCTGCCACCCTGCCTTGTAAAACTCTGTGGGCTCAGAGGCCACTTTCTTATACAGAAATTAAATTCTAAGTTTGGGGACCCAGCTAAGTCTCTTAATAAGCTTGAAAGTATTTTATTATGAATAAAGCCCAAACCGTACTGAAAAGAGAGGTAGCTTGTTTTTACCCATTTGGGTGATCAGCCAGAGGACGTTTCAGAGCAAGGACCCACTTCCGTGACCCTCTTCTTGTCCTCTCCAGACTTCCAGTGAAGAGTGCACGAGCCTCAGAGGCCGGCTTGAGGAGCAGAGCCGGCAGCTGCAGGCCACCAAGGAGGTTGTGGGGAAGCTAAAGGTAGGCCCAAGCCTGTGTGTGCATGTGTGAGAGGGCGTCTGGGGTGTTTTTTATTCACTAGGCCATTTAAGAGCTCTCCCTGTAACACTCTGGGTCCCAAGCTGGACCTATCCTCAGTTTGCCTCTGTAGACACCCCCAGTTTGTACTATGACCCTCCGCATTCCCTGGACAACTGGGCTGGAGGTGCAAATAGCAAAAGGAAATAAGTTGTCCTCCTTGGCCCTTTCTGTAGATGTCATGTAGCCAGTGATGCTAAACTGAGCAGGAGCTAGGGCAGCACTTGTCCCACAGTCTTCAGAGCAGACTTGTTCAAGTGAATTCTACCCCCGCCACCCTACCTCCAGCATCACGTGGGGAGTCTACTACTCGCCACCTTGCCAACCACCAGAATCAGTTGCTTGTGAGGACAACAACCTCCTCAATCAGTTTGTTGAGGCCCCACAAACATAAAGTAGAGGTTCTTGACCTCTCAGACTTAAAAAGAGATAACCATCCATTTAGAAGTGACTCAGCCAGATGGAGTAGATGGCCCACCAGTCATTTTATGGTATCTTCCCTGGGCTTCTGCAAACTGAGTATCTTCTCCCTGATGTCCTGTGCCAGGCCACCCAAGCAGACATGGAAGAGAAGCTGAGCTGCACCAGTAACCATCTTATAGAGTGCCAGGCCACCATCCAGAGGAAGGACAAAGAGGGGGCCGCACTGCGGGAAGACCTGGAAAGGTTAGTCACACAGTCCACCCACGTGGCCATTGGTAGGCTTCAGGGAAGGGGTGTTCCATACAGTCATTTAGAAAGTCAGTCACTCAGCTTTAGGAAGTCCTTTTGCAAGAAAAACCACAAACCCAGAAAGTGCTTGCTGGAAGCATACCACAGACAGCGTGGCCATCTGCCCATCATAGCATACAGATCACTATAGCACCTTTCTCTTAATTCAGTTTTCTTGTCTCTGGCAGGGCACACTTCAGTTGAGTAACTGAATTTTTCCACACTTTGGAAAAATCTACATTAAAAATTAGGGCATAATAATAATGGTAATAGTAACAGCATACATTTCAGTAATGCTTAAAATGTGGTTGGCACTGTTTTAAAGGCTTTGCATATATTTACCCACTTAATCCTTCCAACAGTGCTGTGAGGAAGGTATTATTTGTCCCCATTTCATAGATGAGGAGAATGAGAGTGCCAAGGACCAGGACTGGCCCATCTTCAAGCAGACTCTCTGGTACTGTGTCTCCAAGACCAGATGATGCTATCAACTCCTTTTGTTGTGTTTTTTAACCTTAAAGTATGGTCCCTACAGTTCTGTCCTTGGCCAGCCCCAAGGCCTCCCTGATCTCCTCAGCTTCAGCGTGGGACCATCATGTGGTGATGGGGCCCAGCTAGTTCATCCAGGACCTGATTACACAGGTTTAAGAGGGAGAAGGGGTTGCTGAAATCACATTGCACATGTGCCGCCAGCAAAGACAGGCATCTATGCCTAACTTTTCTATTTATCCCTTACTTCTTCCACCATCTGCCTTCTAGGCCTAGGCCCAGACTCAGCGGGAGATCTGAGCATGTTTGATATTTGGTAACCTGGAAGCATATCTTTCTTCTCTTTGACCCTTCCAGCATTCAGATTGTATAGGGCCCTGGATGCAAGTTATGTTCATGTGACATTTTAAACAGAACCTCCTGAATTGGTGGCATTATATAAATGCTATCACAGTGGCTATCTGTAAGATCACAGAGCATTGTTTCGTCTGCTTAATGTTGCACAACCCATGTGGCCACAATTGGATTTTATTTTATTCCACATTTGTATGTGTGCTTGTGTGCCTGGAGATCACTTTGGTGGACAAGGTCTAGTAAACAACCTCCTGACAACTTATACGGGACATGGGAGGACTGCATTATGTATAAATTAATCAGTCTCTCTGCAGAACCCTCTGTTTAGTGGAACTTTTACTGCGTCCTGCTGGGCCATCCTTAGGGGCAGCTGAGCTGAAAGAAGAGTGGACAAGGTTGAAGAGGTGGTGAGGTTCACCCAGCCCCTCCAAAGTAGATAGAGACATCCCACAGTGCCCAGCAAGAATTCCTTGGTCCTTGGAGGCCTATCGGGTCGAATGGCTCCTAGTGTGGATGCAACTCTGCCTGCTGTGAGGTCAGCAGCATGCCTTGCAGATGGAGTCCCAAAGACATGTGGAAGACAGGTCTTCCTCTCCATGGCCACCCACTGAAAACTAAGGCTCTCTCCTTCCTGTCTTGACTCCTTTCTTCTCCTGCTCCTCCTCCCCATGGCCAGTCCTGAGACTTGCTCCACAAGTTCCTCATATAACCTCAGTCCCTGTCCAAGAACCAAGAGGCACAGAATTCACCTCACCCAGGGAGCTTCTAGCAATGTAGGGTCAGTGTCCCCCCAGGATGACCCTTTGTATGTGGAGGGGTGTGAGAGGAGTCTCAAATGCCAGGGGATTGAAGAACCTTTTAGCAGATAGTGCTGAGGGGTTCTATACTGTGAGCCCAGCAGGACCTCTCATTAGAGGCCCACTTGGAAAGCTGAAATTCGTGGCTAATCAAGAAATTGTTGAATCAAGTTATCACTCCTCCCCAGGACCCGGAAGGAACTTGAAAAAGCCACAGTAAAAATCCAAGAGTATTACAACAAACTCTGCCAGGAGGTGACAGACCGGGAGAGAAATGACCAGAAGATGCTTGCTGACCTGGATGACCTGAACAGAACCAAGAAGTACCTTGAAGAGCGGCTGATAGAGCTGCTCAGGTGAGTGTCAGCCCAAACCACAGCTGGGGCTTTGCCCATACTTATATTTTTGTTAAAGAAATGAATGACACTTGAAAAGACACTTCTAGAATTTCCCCATTCTCTTACCCCTCTCTCAGGAGCCCTTTTCTCCCTTCTCCTCTGCCCCCACGACTCATTGCCACATCAGCTTCAGGCCCAGAGTGGCCAGACCACCTTACTTCTCAAGGGAAGGTGGAATCCTGGACTTATGTGAATTTTCCTGATTTTTAAATGTTGGCAAATCATTCAAAACTTTTTTTTGGTTTGGGATTCATTGAGGGTACAAAGAATTAAGTTGTAATTCTTAATTAAGAAGTAAGTGGTTGTTAGGTAAAGTCCCTCTTATAATTGAGTCCTGCCTCCCAGAAGTGTGCCGTACACCATGACCGCTATCCCCTTCCCTCTTCCCCTTCCCACTCCCTCATTCTCCTATCCCACCCCTTATATTAGCTCATCTACTGCCTTCATATTAGAATTGAGTACATTGGATTCTTGCTTCTCCATTCTTGTGATGCTTTACTAAGAATAATGTGTTCTACCTCTGAGATCCAAGTTAATACAAAAGATGTAAAGTCTCCATCTTCTTTAATGGCTGAATAGTATTCTGTGGCATACATATACCACAGCTTGTTAATCCTTCCTGGGTTGGTGGCATTTAGGTTGTTTCCACATTTTGGTGATTATAAATTGAGCTGTGATAAGCAGTCTAGCGCAAATGTCTTTATGATAAAAGGATTTTTTTTTCTTCTGGGGAGATACCTAGTAATGGGATTGCAGGATCAGATGGGAGGTCTAGTTTGAGTTCTTTGAAGGTTCTCCATATTTCCTTCCCAAAAGGTATAAGTTTGCAGTCCCACCAGCAGGGTAAAAGTGTTCCCTTCTCTCCACATCCACACCAGCATCTACAGCTTTGAGGCTTTGTGATGTGGGCCCTTCTCACTGGGGTTAGGTGATATCTCAGGGTAGTTTTGATTTGCATTTCTCTAATGATTAGAGATAATGAGCGTTTTTTCATGTTTGTTAGCTGTTTGTCTTTCTTCCTTAGAGAAGGTTCTATTCTTGTCTCTTTCTTGCCCAGTGATAAATGGGATTATTGGGTCTTTTTTTTGTTGATTAATTTGAGTTCTTTGTAGATTCTGCTTACCAAGCTTTTGTCCTATTCATAGTATGCAAATATCTTTTCCCATTCTGAAGGTTGGGAAAGCTTTGGTGGTTGTCGCCTTAACTGTGGAGAAGCTTTTCAGTTTAATTAAGTTCCATTTGTTTATTTGTACGCTGTTGTTGCAATTGCCGTGGAAGTCATCTTCATAAAATCTTTCCCCAGGCTGGTATCTTCAACTATTTTCCCCTCACTTTCTTTGAGGATTTTTATTGTTTTATGCCTTCTATCCATCTTGAGTTAATTTTTATAAGTTATGAGAGGTGCAGATCCAGTTACAGTATTTTACTGTGGTTATCCCATTCTCCCAACACCATTTATTGAATAGGGGTGCTTTTCCCCAGTGTATCAGTGTATGTTCTTGTTTGGCTTACCAAAGATCAGATGGCTGTAGGATGTTAGTTTCATGTCAGGGTTTTCTATTTGTTTCTGAATGTCAGTGTCTCTATTTTTGTGCCAATATCATGCTGTTTTGATCACTATGGCCTTGTAGTATAGCATAAAGTCTGGTAGGGTAATACATCCAGCTTTGTTTTTATTACTAAGAATTGCCTTGGTGATAGGGGTTTTTTTTTTTGGTTCCATACAAAACAAAGAATCATTTTTTCCAAATCTTGATGATGGTATTTTAATGGGGATGGCATTGAATCTGTAGACTGCTTTAGGAAGTATAGAAATTATTACAATGTTGATTCTTCCCAGCCATGAACATGGTATGTTCTTCCATAGAGGTCCTTCACCTCTATTGTTAGGTATGTTCTTAGGTATTTCTTTTTTTTGAAGCTACTATAAAGGGAACTGTGTCCTTGATTAGCTTCTCATCTTGGCTGTTATTGCTGTATACAAAGGCTACTGATTTGTGGACATTGATTTTATATCCTGAGACATTTTGTTGTATTTTTTGATCACTTCCGGGAGTCTTGTGGTTGACTCTTTGGGGTTCTCTAAGTATAAGATCATATCATCAGCAAAGAAGGAGAATTTGACCTCCTCTGCCCCCATTTGGATGCCCTTTATTTCCTTCTCTTGCCTAATTGTATTGGCTAAAGCTTCCAGCACTATGTTGAATAGTAGTGGCAATAGAGGACAACCTTGTCTGGTTCCAGTTCTAAGTGGAAAAGCTTTCAGTTTTACTCCATTCAGTATAATGTTAGCTGTAAGTTTGTCACAGATGGTTTCAATCAGTTTAAGAAATGTGCCACCTATGCCTATATTCTTCAGTGTTTTAATTAGAAAAGGGTGCTGAATTTTATCGAATGTTTTTTCTGCATCTATGGAGAGGATCATACAGTCTTTGTTTTTGCTTCTGTTGATACAGTAGATTACATTTATGGACTTGCGTATGTTAAACCAGCCTTACATCACTGGGATGAAACCTACTTGATTGTGATGAATGATTTTTTTAATGTATAGCTGTAATCTATTGGCTAGGATTTTATTGAGAATTTTTGCATCTATATTCATTAATGAAATTGGTCTGAAGTTCTCCTTTTTAGTTGGGTCTTATCCTGGTTTTGGTGTCAGGGTGATGTTTGCTTTGTAGAATGTGTTGGGGAAGATTGCTTCTTTCTTAACTTTTTGGAATAATTTTTGCAGCATGGGTATAAGCTTCTTGAAAGTTTGATAGAATTCTGGTGTGAAGCCATCTGGACCAGGGTATTTTTTTTGTTGGGAGATTTTTTATTGTTTCTTTGATCTCAGTGCTTGAAATTGGTCTGTTCAGAAGATCTGTTTCTTTCTGGCTAAGTCTAGGGAGAAGGTGCTTTTCCAGGTATTGATCCATTTCCTCCACATTGTCAAATTTCTGGGCATAGAGTTTCTTGTAGTACTCAGAGATGATCTCTTGTATCTCCTTGGCATCTGTTGTTATTTCACCTTTATTGTTTCTGATTAAGGTTATTAGAGATTTTACTTTTCTGTTTCTAGTTAATCTGGCCAAAGATTTATCAATTTTATTTATTTTTTTGAAAAACTAATTTTTTGTTTCATTAATTTTCGGAATGATTCCTTTGTTTTCAATTTCATTAATCTCTGATTTAATTTTGATTGATTCTTTTCTTCTACTGGGTTTGGGATTAGATTGTTCTTCTTTTTCCAGTTCCATAAGATGGTTCATAAGTTTGTTGATACTCCCTCTTTCTGTTGATACTCTCTCTTTCTCTTTTTGAATATAGGCATCTAATGTGAATGTGATAAATTTCCCTCTTAAGACTGCTTTTGCTGTATCCCACAGGTTTTGGTAACTTGTGTCTTCATTGTTATGTTTGAGAAATTTAATGATTGCCTCTTTTTATCTCTTTCTGAACCCAACTATCATTTGACATAAGGTTGTTTAATTTCCATATCTTTGTGTGGGGATGAATGTTTTTGTTGAAGTTGAGTTCCACTTTACTGCCTTGTGATCTGAGAAGATACAAGGTATGACTGCAGTAGCTGCCTTATGGCCCCTTGGGAGAGTTCCTCTGTTTTGGTTTTTCATATTGCCCAGATTTTTCTGTTGGCTCCTCCTCATGTGTTCTTTCTTCTTGTTCACCTCCTTGTCCTTCTCTTTTCTTCTCACTTCCTCCTTTGCTTCAAATTACTTTGTCTCAGAGCATGACCAAAAATATAGGAGTCCTTGATTTCAATAGGAATATGTATGTTGCAGTATGTCACCAGAACACCAGGTGGCACTGTGCTTTTTTTTAAGGAAATGGAGATCACAGCTGGCAATCTCTGTGGTTCTTATTCCTAATCGAGTTGTCATTGGTGATTGCCTGATTGTTTCCTCAGCATTCAGACTGTGCCAGGTTGGGATCTTAAAGCTCTCCAGAATCCTTCAGAGTCATGTCTCACTGTGCCCTCTGATTGCAGTTCCCATGGGGTGCAAGAGTCCCTCAGCCTCTTCCAAGAGTGGAGTTCTGATTCCGGCAGGTAGAATTAAGACAGCCATGCTTTAGGCCCCTGCTAAGATCTTTTCACAACCTTCCCACAATGGCAGCCCCCTGGCTGCCTAGACATTCCCAGTATGGCTGTCTTGCCAGCCACTAAAGCCATGGCAAATCCACTCCAACCTGCATTCAAATCTGGTTGCTGTGTACTGTTAGAGTCCACCCAGCCTTCCTAGCTTTTCACTCAACACACAACTTCCCCCAACTGAAAACTCTGGAAAGGATTCCTCCTGTCTTGGATCTCTGGGGGGGGGTGGGGGGTGGGGCTGGCCGATCCCTGCAGGTCACAAGTACTTGCCTAATGAGTCAGATTTTCACTGCTCTGGGTCACACAGCTGTATCCAACTCACCACTTCCTCATGTGCTCCCTGAACTATGACTCTGGGTAAGGTCCCCATGCCAGGTATGGCTGGGTTCTCTCTTTTTCCCCAGTCATAGTAGGAGAGCTCAGCTGAATAATCCTTCTGGTCCACCATCTTGCTCTGCTCCTCTATATTTATCAGCACTGTTGTTTAGATGCCTGAGTGGTATGGGGCCTTGTCAGCACTAGCACCTCTTTGCAGTTGATAGAGCCTTCCATGTGGTGTGTTTCCAATGTGAAAGTGAATCATCTTTCTTTGACTTCAGAAATTTAATAGCAGTTTTAAAAAGTGAAACAGGGATAATTTGATTATTTTCATGGATTCCTTTATTTTTTTTAAATGTGGTTTTGTTCCAGGGACAAGGATGCTCTCTGGCAGAAGTCAGATGCCCTGGAATTCCAACAGAAGCTCAGTGCTGAGGAGCGGTGGCTTGGAGACACTGAGGCAAACCACTGTCTAGACTGCAAACGGGAGTTCAGCTGGATGGTGCGGCGGCACCACTGTAGGTCAGCACTCAACTCACAGGCCGACACTGAAACCCTGGCAGGGCCCAAGATCAGAGCAAATGGCTCTGAACAAGGACTCAGTGTTAGATGTTGGTACCAGGCCTGGCTGTCTAGGAAGTGCATATTGCTTTTGGCTTTAAGGGAACCAGATGAGCATAGTGTATTAGTTAGGATCCTAGCAGGATACTCAGAGCTTACTGAAAGGAAAGAGAGTTAATTAGAGAGGTGTAGGGAGAGTTAAAGGACCCACTGGGATGTGATGTACCCAGAGACCAGCAATCTTCCAGCCGTTCCTCAGCCTATGGATACTGGAGGGAAATGGGGCTACTGGAACCAACAGCAGCTGGACCTAAGGCTTCTCTAGAGGAACACAGGCAGTATCAGGGATGCAGAGACCCTTGGAGGGCCCAGAGAAGGGTGGGTAAATATGGATCTCCAGCTGGGTAGGGGTAGGTGGGAATGATTGGCATAGGCCCATGAAGGTCTATGTGTCTTAGAGCCGTAGCCCCTGAGGTGAGGGGTGCTCACCTTCAGCGTGGTGTCAGGAAAGGCAGGCTCAGCCATGTACCTTCTGTCTCTGCCTCCCAGGACCTAGGAAATAAAACCCTCCCACTGAGCTTACCAAGGCCACTCTCTAAAGTAGAGACAACCAGGTCTCATGAGAGCCACATGGATTCCACAACCTGACACAGAGCCCAGTTCTGATGCTGAGCAAATCACAGGAAATCCACAGTACATCATCCTCACAGCCTGGGCTTGTTTTGTTCCCAGGATATGTGGCCGCATCTTCTGCTACTACTGCTGCAACAACTATGTCCTGACCAAGCACAGTGGCAAGAAGGAGCGCTGCTGCCGAGCCTGTTTCCAGAAGCTCAGTGAAGCTGAGTGCTCCCCTGATAGCACTGGCTCAGGCACTAGCCAGGGAGAGCTCAGCCCCACACTGTCACCAGCCCACAGTGGACCCCAAGCCACAGGAGGCCAAGGTCAGGCTTCTGCTACTGCCTACTGTGTTCTCTAGGTGCCACCCCACCCTGTTGTGGCTAGTCAGCTCTAACAAGCTTAATTCAGTGTTTTCTAAGCTTAGATATTAAGGAGGTGCTAAAAATATATTACCACAAATTGAGGCTTTTTTTTTTTTTTAATGTAATTAGGATTGAAAGAGAATTGAAAAGGAAATAACTTTCTTCTACTGTGATTTAACATGAGGTCTCTGTACCTCTTAACCCACATGCCACCAGTGAAATACACCCCATGCTTTGGAAAATGCTGTCTACCAGAGCCTCAGCCCTGGTATTCACCCTTTCTCCCAGAGTAATCCAAGTTCAGAAGTTATATCTGGACTTGTACAAATTCTTCACTTTCTCCCTGAAGCTCATGCTGTCTTCTCTTTTACTGGGCTGAGTGGGAGGACACAAAGGACAAAGAGGATGTATTGTCCTTTGTGTCCTCCCACTTACCCCAGTAAAAGGAAGCAGAGTTTGGGTCCTACTGCTTCTGCTCTGAACAGACCAACCCAGGCTGCCCTCTGGGGTTTAGACTTTGGATGTAGAGCACAGGGAGGCAGAGCTCAGATGGCATGGACAGAAGTGGGTCTCATTTCTGCCATCTGCTCTTGGAGCCTGTGAACTCCGGTTTGGCCTCTGCCTACATAGAGGCCAACCAGCCTCTGGAAATAACTATTGTTAGTTCCTCGTTCGTTTAAGTGGATCAGCAAGGAGGTTGGCAAGCCCCATTATTTCATTGGGTGCAAGGAACTGCTTAGGATGGGGGGGTGTGCATTAGTAAATCTTCAGATCTTTTGTCCATTTTTCAACTGTATGTTTAATTACTGAATGTTGAGAGTCCTCTATTCTGGATGCAAGTTCTTTATTAGTTATGTGTTTGTAAGTATTTTTTCACTATCTATAGCTTGTATTTTTTTTTT